TTTCTACCCCTACTGTTCCACCAAATCGTTCTGACAGTTGCAAGTTACAGCTCTACTCACAATACTGCAATGTAGCAGCAAAGCTGGCCTAAGACTGCATTATAACAGCAGCTCTGGCCCACCATCTAAAGCCATTTCATTAAAACAAGCAACCCCATTCCAAACAAACAGCCTGCAAAAGCATTTTCTCTCCTCCTGAAAGCCTTAGGGAGACAACCTACACAAGCACAACTGTCCACAATCTGAGCAACGACTGACTGCCCTGGCCAATGACAAAAACAATATATGACAGTCAGTCACCTACTGTATGATCACGCCTGTCTCTCATCCATCCTTCTGTTCAGCTGCCAAGAACTGGAAATGTCCTGTTGTGTCATCCAGTAAATTTGAGTGAATGCCTTTCTAGACTTGTAAGGTGTGACCCCTTCCCACACCCACAACGTACCCTCCACCAGGACACACACACACACACACACACACACACACATTATAACCCAGACTCTGACTGACACGCGAGGACAAAAGCAGTGCTACACAGTGATGTGTGTCCCACAGCCATGACATGAGCACTGGGTGGTTTTAGCAACTACGTAACTCCACAGATGGAAGCATGTGTCAGCAGTTAGACTGTAGATACATGACAGCACTGGTTTTATCACTCGGTGTCAATCATTCATTCAGCAATAAAAAAACACAGTGAACAACACAGCTGAGTGCCATCTGAGAATTAAAATTGCATTCAACTGAAATTCAAAGAAATTCATATACAATAAGAGTCATTTTTTACAATTTGCCAAGACAAACTTTCAATGATGGCTTGTCAAACCTTGTCTTGAAGTATAAAAGTTTAAAAAGTCTTGAAATTTTATAGGCCTTTTTAAAGAAATGTATACTCAAATTCAGAAAGGATGCATTAAATTTAACAAAAGTGACAAAAACAACATTTATAATGATACAAAAGATTTCTGTTTCAGATAAATGCTATTCTTTTGCTCTTTTAATACATTTTTTGAATCCTGAAAAAAAGTATCATACTAATAAGCAATGTTTCTTAAGCACTAAATCAGCATATTAGAATGATTTCTGAAGCATCATGTGACACTGAAGACTGGAGTAATGATGCTGAAAATGTATTCTTGCATCACCGGAATAAATTAGTTAAAAATACATTCAAATAGAAAACAGTTATTTTAAATTTAATCATATTTGACAATATTAATGATATTATTTTTTGAATATAAGAGACCTTTCAAAAACATTAAAAAATCTAACTGATTCCAAACTTTTGAATGGTAGTGTAGGCCTACTTGATTTTTATATTATATACTTCTTTATATTTTAGAAATTATCTTTCATTTTATGGACGCAAGTCTCTATGTTTTAGGTAAAAAAAAACGTTAAAATAGCACAGATTAAATAAAATAACTCATGCACGTTCATCTTCCCCGCTGCTGTAACATTAGCAGTTTTACTAAAATGCTACGCATTTAGCCCTATGTGACGTCTGCTTTTATATTGTTATTAATTCCTTATTATATTCATTATTTCCTTATTGGTTATTTTGGGAAAATCCCAGGTATTTTGAGCAGTACCATTATAAAAAAATATATATGCTAATATAAAATTAAATGATAAAAGTAGCCTATATAAAACCGCAAAATAAACATTAATCTATCTGTACTTTTTACTTAAGTACATAAAAAATCAAGTACTTTTGTACTTTCACTCGAGTAAAATTGAAAACGGAGTACTTTTACTGGAGTAATATTTTATCATACGGATCTGTACTTTTACTCAAGTACTTAATTTGTGTACTTCGTCCACCACTGTCTAATAATAATAATAATAATAATTTTAATAAATAATACAATAAAAATAAAATCTTTGCATTTTAGCAGAAATGTATGCATTTGGCAGATGCTATTATCCAAAGCAATTCGCCAAGGAGCCAATAATATTTGTAATAAATTTAGGTAAGTAAGGTCACAGATCTTTTCGGTAGCTGGTCCAGCACCCAAGGGGCCCCAGGGTCCACCCTTTTAAAGAACAATGTCTGAGCAATAAACATTTCCATTGTTAATCCTCAAAACTAGCAGACTTGAGTTGCAGTGAGATGTAAAGAGGCTTTTGTTTGACTTTAGTTTATCACTTCTAGCTGCCACAGGATTATTACAGTGCAAATGAAATTCAAATATTGGCTTACAGCTAATCAGATTCCTCATTATGAGCTCTGAAAAGAAGAAACAATCAGATATCATGACCTGATAGTGGCCTTCTGACGTCTTCTGATATTTGACATTTGATGTGTTTTGCATGCTCCTTGAATTCAGCTGAAAGTAGTGTGACTTGCTGTAAGTCTTTTCAATAATCAGAAGTTCACTGAAGTTCAGCACTGATCTGGTTGTGGAATTTAGATGCTAACCTTTAGTACATTGTGGGTTAAGGCACATGCTCATAATTGTAGCTGTTACTAGCACATTTACTTTAACAGTCAAAGCAAATGGTGTTTGAAAAGTATTTGGTCAAAATGCACCATATAGAAAATACATTCTTTCTATTTTTTTTTTATAAACCACTGGGAAACAGATTACAATTTGCAATTTAAGACTGAACATTCATGGAAGAAATCTTGATATATCCTAAGGATTCTTTCAGAATTCTTCAAGATTTTGTTATAGTGTAAAACTCAGCAATACTTTCACATCTCTTGCATGTTCGATACACTGAAAAATATTGTAGAATAATTTTCTTTAAAACAGAAATAGCTAGTAAATTTCACAAATAATTAGAAACAAATGACAAGTAACACATTAACATGACATTTTAAAAGTACACAATCAATTGGTATATAATGTGAATTGGTTATATGAATAAATGGTTATAATCATACTTGTTAAACGTACTCCAGTAATCATTATTTACAACTTCAAAAAAATATTTTTTACAAAGTACTACATGAAAATATAATATAATTTAATTTAGCAGATTTAGTCATTTGTTTTTTTATTTAAGACACACACACATATATACAGGTGCATCTCAATAAATTAGAATGTCATGGAAAAGTTCATTTATTTCAGTAATTCAACTCAAATTGTGAAACTCTTGCGAAAGTATTCAAACCCCTTATGTTTTCTTATGTTGCAGATGTTAAACTGCTTTAAATTCCTTTTTTTCCCACATCAATCTACACTCCATACACCATAATGACAAAGCAAATAACAGGGTTTTAACATCTTTGCAAATTTATCAAAGATATAAAAAAAGATTCCATTGCATCTGGGACAGTTGAAATTTAGCTCAGGAGCATTCATTTTGCTTGTAAATGTTACCACACTTTGAGTGAAGTTAGCCTGTTGCAAATTCAATTGAATGGGTATGATTTGGAAAGACACACATATCTTAACAAAAGGTCTAACAGCTGAAAATGCAGAGCAAAGAGCAAAGACCAAGCCCTGAGGTAAAAAAAAAAGAGAAGGGCTTTGGTTAGTGTGGTGACCAAGAACCTGATGGTCACTCTAGTTGAGCTCCATGATTATATGTGAAGATAGGAGAAACCTAAAGAAGGACAAACATCACTGCAAAACTCCACCGATTTGGGCTTTATATTGGTGTGGCCAAACTCAATCCTCTCCTCATTGAAGACGCATAAAAACACACTTGGAATTTTTAAAAAAAGCACCTAAAGGACCCTCAGACTGTGAGAAACAAGATGCTCTGGTATGATGAAGCTCAATTCCAAGCATCATGTTTGAAGGAAACCAGCTCTGCTCATCACCTGCAGAGTACCATCCCAAAAGTAAAGTGTGCTGGTAGCAGCCTCATGCTGTGGGGGTGTTTTTCAGTGGCAGGGACTGAGGGGCTCGTCAGAGTAGAAGAAAAGCTCAATGCACCAAAATAT